GCTCCATCAGCTTCTTTGCTGCTTCTGAAGCTGGAGAGTGACACAAGAATGCGGAAGTGATGTATTATACAACACTTCCGCATTCTTGCAGAGGAGAGGGGACCGGAGGGAGCTCGTGTACCGAGCTCCCTCTGATCCCCTGTGACACAGGCGACCTGCTGATCCCAGGCTCACACCGGGCACAGCGGAGCCCGTGATCAGCGGGACAACGGCGGGGGCGTGGAGGGGGGGGCGATCGGCACCCCATACACGCGATCGCTTGTATGGTAACAGGCATCGCTGCCTGTTTTTACATTTTGGCCGTTTCCCGCTCGCAAGCGCGAAGGGGCGTGTCTGAGCGGACGTCTAAAGACGCCCGCTCAGATCTAGAAAGCTCCGGGCCGGCCGTTTTTTTACTACGGCCGGCTCGTAGGTGGTTAAAGGTTTAATAAAATGTCAAAACAAAAACACCACCCCACATTCAAGTGGGATGTTTCACCCCTCCTCTTAAAGGGGGAAATTCAGGGAATGTACGGCCATCCAAAATGCCCTACTTTTAGAAGCGGTGCAAAGGAATTATTTCTAGATTTCCTGACTGTGGCAGAATCCCCCACACTAGAGGCATAGCCGCACAGGAAAAACCTACAGAGATAGCCTGCTTGCACCTTCCACAATGCAGGGGGAAGGGCAAGCAACAACAAATGTAAGTGTAAAAGTCTACAGTCATGGTAAAGGGCAGGCAGCAGCAAAAATTAAGTGTACAATCCTACGGAAAAAGGCTGCCCAAATTTCCTCAAATCAGAGATTATTTTTATGGTGGGCTTTGGCAGCGCACACTATTGCCAGCACAGGCAAAGCTGCCCTTTGTTTGCAGCACATCATCACAAAATTGTGCAGTAAAGCTGTGTGCACCAAAGCACCTCATACTTTTCCCTCCTATTGCTATAGCTGTGATTGCATTTATAAAAATCCTTTTAAAATCTTTTTTTTTTTAAAGGGTGAGGCAGGACTAAAGTGAGAAGCATAGGCTCTGCAGATGGATGTAATAGAGCTTTTTCATTTTTTAAAAGCAGTATATATAGATTGAATTTTCTATATATAATTATCTATTTTGCCCCTTGTAAGGCTGTCCAAGCCCTGGTCAAGCAAACATAGGCAGGGACAACAATGCAAACTGGGTACTATTTTATAAAAAGGCATTAGATAGGCAGTTTGGAGGGGCTTTTCACCCTGCCAGTGGTGAATCATGCAACAGATAGTGACGTGGCTGGCAAAGCCTTTGTCTTGGCTACCTCTCCCAGGCTCAAAGCAGCAACTTGCCTGCAAATGCTGCTAATTTACTTTTTCCTCCTCCTCCTCCAGACTATTAGTCCTTTGAATTCATACAAGAAATGGAACTCCTGATCTACAGAGGACTGACGTGAATGCAAAAGTAAAAGGTCTTTTGACCAGCTTAGTTTGGTGTAGCGATCGCTTGGAGGCCAAGAAAATCTGACCTTGTGAATATTTTCTGATTGCCAAAGTAGACATTACTCCCTTGCCAGACACAGATGAAGAGTTTGATTAAAAAACAACAGTGGAATTTGCTTAAACAATCCACTGCTTGGGGCATAACTTTTTTGTTGTGGAAACAGAAAGCAACAAAATATTTAATCTGTTTATGCAGCTCATTTTGTAAGGCCTAAGGAATGTTTAGCCAGCTACTGAATAACCTACTGTTTTGCAAATGGTTTGTGAATAATGTAATGTGAGGTGGTTTAGGTGCACTCTGTTTTTGTAGTTATTTTTTTTCTTTCAAATACAAAAAAAAGCTCTTGAATTGTCCCAATTGCTTGATTTGCTCTAAAGACCCAAGCTTAATGTAATAATTAAGCAAAATACCACATTTTTTTTTTAAAGTACCTAGATTTTTGATGATTGAAGAGCTAGCTATTAATCAGTTGTTGTGGAAAAACATTGGTTCTTAAAAGGATTTTTGGGTGTGCAGATCTGTTAGGTCTGCAATTTAAAGAACTCAACTATAGTTTGTTAAAGGAAATGTAAACCCAGCCACTGAAATCTTAAATAAGCTTTAACAATTGGTGATACTGATATGAAGGTCCTTTTTTGGGCACTTTGTGTTATGGAGTGAAAATTCTTTGCCCCTGTCCTCCTCAATCTTCTTGTCACATGCCTTCCCAAAAGAAAAAGATTCTCTGCTGATGTATATTTCCCACAAATAACACACTTTTTTTTTTTTTTTTTTACAAAAAGGCCTTTTAAAAAAAGTTGCAGCCAGCAACAATTAGGACATATATCCTGTGAAAAACAAATGCAACAAAAGATTATTGATGAAGTGCATGTAGACAGGGACAGGTTGTTAAAAAAATTGATTGCAGGCAGCAGAAAACAGGAAATATGCCCGGTGAAAATACACATTCAGCCTGTTATGATTGCAGTGCATGTGGACAGGGACAGACTGTGCAAAAAAAAAATCAATTGCAGCCAACACAAAAAAAGGAAAATGTCGTATTAAAACACATGTAGTCCTTAAATGCTGTGTGCATGTGAAGAGCTTGTAAAAAAAAGCTGCAGGACTCACATCAGCAGTGTAAAGTAAATGTAAAACTCTTTTCATTCCCCTACCCCCAAATTTCTCAGGATACAAAGCATTTTGTTGTCTAAAGGACATTCAATACAGGTTTACATCTACTTTAAGAGACCAGTGTTTACAAGCCCTATAATAATTGGACTCTATACACTTCATCAAAAGCACTCCCTAAGCACATTGTCAATATGGCTGATGAGAATGCATCCTTTGATAGGCACATAACAAAGCCTACATTATTGCCATTCTAAGCCACCTAACCAGGAAGTTCATTATTAGTAGTTGTTTGCTATGGCAGTGTGTACAACTGCACCAGTTCACCATTTTCTTGAACTGCAAACGAGTTGGGTTTGCCTGAAACCCATACTTGACCCAAAGCCAAAGTTCATCCCCGGTTGTGATTATTGCAGCAGTATTAGGCAGCCGTTTGTCTGTATCTTATTGCACATCTGTGAAAATGAAAGGTCATCATGTCTGATATTCACCCAAAACTGAATGAGAAAAATCAAGAGTGTTAGAAAATATGATCAGAAGATTATTGACAGTGTACATTTGACTGATTGTGTGACCAATATACATCAGCAACTGCAGACAAGGTACCTCTCAACCTCACCAATCAACAGGTTCTGGGACAACTTAGCCACATATAATACTAAAATAGTAAAAACCCAAGAAAGATAAGTCTCCTGTACAGCAGTATGTTTCTAAAATTTCCCTGCCATTTTTAAAATAAAGTCAAACCAGTCTCTTGATTTAGATATAAAATATAAGTGTAGTGATTGGTTATGTCTACCAGACAGCATTTCTTCAATTAAAGGAGAACTATGAGGTGAGTGCTTTTCACTCACCTCATAGTTCTAGCCGACCTGTGACAATGAGACTGTCACAGGTCGACTCAGTAGATCGGGAGGTGAGCGAACACATACCGGCGTTCGCTCACCACTCGATCCTTTCACGGCTCTCTGCCGTGACAGGGGAGGGGCTGGATTCCCCCCTCCCCACTCCGATCCGCCAGCGCTGACTGGCGGAACGGACGGGGGAGGGGGCGGGTACAGCTAGCTCTGCCTCTAGATAGGCAGAGCCAGCTGTCAGTCACGCAGCTGGATGGATCCAGACATAATTGTCGGGATCCGCTTCAGCTGCGGCGTCTCAGTATACCACAAGCTAAAGCTCGCGGTATACCGAGCCTAGGGTGACGGCAGGACGCTAGTTTGTGTCCTCCCGTTACCCTAAGAAGAACTATGGGGAAAAGCCTTAACCCCATAGTTCTCCTTTAACTTGACTGTTTCTAATATTGCAATTTAATCACTTTACCCATGTTGCCCCAAATCGGTTTTGTAAATATTCAAAAAACCAAGACTGTTTTACCTGAGCTTGAAAAAGAGGCAAGACCTCGAAACGCGTCGCTCTCGTCCGCTCTTGGATCCCCCTCCACTCCACCATCAACTCGAGCCCCGGCGTCTGACTGTCCCCAGCAGACCCGACAGAGACGGCTCGTTGACACACGCGGCCACGGCTGCCACAGCCCTATCCAACACCCGGTTCCTGTCTGAATGATCCCTCTCCAACACGTCATTGGATTCGACTTGCGTCTTCTGCCAGCTGCTTCTGCACATGGTCCCCAGCAGATCTGACAGTTACCGCTCGCTGAGACACACACAGCTGCGGCTGTTACAGCCCCGTCCATTGCCCGCTGCCTATTGCCGATAACACAGCGATCCCCCTGCCTCTCTCCCACACCGCACAGACCCCTCACGGCACTTCAGACGAAGTCCCCTCTTCTCATCTACACTCTCCCGTGGATATACCTCTTGGATTAATACATCGATCACAGTCGGACACCACACCACGAGTGCCCCGATCCTCCATACCGGCCGTCCATCTCCAGATCCTGGCATTCACACGTAAGTGCCACCACCTTCAGTTTTTCATCACTACTTTGTTAACTAGCCAGTGTTCTCTGCGCCCTTTCTTGGTTTTTTGAATATTTACAATCCACAGGTTCTCCTCCTGTTTTCCAGGGCTGCACACACACCTCTAAGCTAATTTGTTGCCCATCCGAGAGCGCTGTTTATATGTTTTTTCTGTTCTCCAAATCGGTTTTGAAGTCTTGTTGGTTAAACATTTTTGCATGTTTGGCTCTGCTCACTATTTTCTCTGGCATGAAACACTGAATATTTGCTTGTCCTGTCTATATTTATCAATATATATATCCATCTTTCACATGGTTAACATTTTTTTAATTGCATGATCTGCCATGAATATTGGGCAAATACATACTCTCACACAAGTTACCTCTCTTCTACAGGCTTCCCTGAGTGTCACTGAGATGGCTCTTGCTTTGAACCGATATATCTGCTCTGCGGTACTCCCATTGCTTACTCGTTGTGCTCCCCTCTTTTCCGGCACCGAACACTATGCAGCACTAATAGATTCCACCCTGCATACCATATACAGACTATCCAAGGGGCGTTCTCTAACCAAAGCTCAGAGAGACACAATTGAAGAGTGTCTGCTGTCAATATGCCAGTAAGATATTTTCCTTGCCACAATTGAAGAATATAATTGGTTGGTCTGTGATCATGTTCTAAGGCAGTGGTGTTCAAATGTTTTAAGAAGGGCCCTCAAATGTCACACTGACTACTGTGACCCCCTAACTGTCAGTCTGCCTTTGTTTTTGGGGGTCCTCAAAATATAGGTTTTCTACGAATACTAAAAAAAAGGTTGAAAACAATTACTTATTTGATAACTTGATGGCACCCAATGCAGCCCTACCGGTTGCACACTGCTATCTTTTTATTCTGTTATATATATATACCAGTATGAACGTTTGCATTATCAATCTAATACAAAATGCCACTGAAGGTAGATAATAATAGGCATGACTTATAACCCCTGCTTCGCAATTGTAAAATTTTATCCTAGTTTTTGACTGTCTGTTTCTTCTCAGTGTTGTTAATAACGGGGGAGTATAAAATGGTGGACCTAGACTGCTGAGGGCCCTTCTGCCAAAATATTTTGGGCCTTATTCTAATGCTCGATATGTTGCTACAAGTTTGAACCGGGAAAAATTTCAGCGCTCCTATGACACAGTAGAAAAGTAGAATTAGTAGAAAAGTTTATGCTTTGTATAAACTTTTCTACTAATCAGGATGAAGTAATAGAGAGTGTGGGCATAGAAACAAGACTTTTCTGGGCTTCATGGCTTGAATTGATTATTATCTTCTCCCCCATTGTAGGAAATGGATGTGAATGTGTTATTTGCTGATGTTTAGTGATTTCAATTACTTCTCTTTTTCAAAATAACATCCTTATCATCTATTAGGCTAGAGTTTGTTGAGAATCAAATAGATGAGAATAAGAATGACAAATGCATTAAATCAAGACTAAAAATTGTTGCCTGCAAGCAAAATAAAAACCCATATATCATAATTATGTTTTTATAATATTCTGTATCCACTTAGCGTAGTAGCATATTCACAGCTTTAAACATAAAGCAAATCAGTAAAGAAGCTTACATCATAACATCTTGGGGCTGTTGTTTTCTTAACCATCTTTTAATCTCCATTGTAAACTCCCACACACTAGTATTAGTCCTGTAATGCATGCCAGCAAATCTGAGCATTCACAGATGTCAGGGATGCGCCTCTGGTTTTCCCAAAGAGCTCTTTATGTCATTTCTTCTTAAAAGCTGACTATCAGGAGTAAGAAAAATTAAATACTTGTTTTTATAAATACACTTAAAAATAAAGGGCAAGGACTACTTGCAAATGCTAGAATCTTGGAAAATTACATAAATAGCGTATATAATCATATATTGCTTAGGATCAGTGATAGCCTCTCTCAGTCCCAAGCTTCTTGCTTGTAAATGATTAAAGCCACTGACAGAAGTTATTTTCTTTCTTAAATGTCAATCCTTGTGACCTTACTATTCTTTGCTGGTTGTTTTGCAGTCATATGCGGCCTTCTATGCTTCAGCAGCTCCTGCGGCGTCTCGTTTTTGATGTTCCCTTGCTCAGCGAATACTGCAAAATGCCACTGAAGGTAGATAATAATAAGCATGACTTAAAACCCTGTATATGTTTTTAATGGGCTTCACAATTGTTAAATTCTATTCTAACTGCTGATTGTGTGTTTCTCCTAAACATTGTTTATAACAGGGGACTAAGTATGAAAATGTCTCACCAGGTTGGTAGAGATTTATCTATTAGTTAGTTTGTGATTCTCAGTGGTAGACCTAGACTGCTGAGGGCCCCTCTGTCATGGTGCGGCCATAAAAATATGATATTTTTATAGCCGCACCATGACACCCTCTACCAAAACACATTTTGGGCTTGATTCTGATTCTCAATATCTTGTTCAAAGTCTAGTAGTTGTAATTAGGAAATGGTTAGTGTTTGTTTTTATTTAACAGTGTAGAGTTGAAGTCAAGTATCAAAAGTTTACATATGGATAATGTGAAACCTCGCGCCACTACTCCAATCAAGTTAAGCAGCAGCTGAAATCTGTGTGATCAGATATATAGTATAAAATTAATAATAAAAGCCGCGCTGTGTGAATAAATCTACAAAGTATCAGATATAATAGTTACTGGCCGTGAAACAATGTGATACAATGTCAATTGAGTAACAATGGAAAAAATGCATCTGTATAACAGGCACCTCAGTGCATATATGTTGCTACAAAATATCTATAATGACAAATCAAATAAGAGATACTAGCCGTGAAACACTGTGATGCAATGTGAAAAGAATAACAACTAGAAAAACCGCATGTGTAGAGCATGCAATTCCACATCTGCATTTTTATGTACCCTGCGCAATTCAAGCATTTATTGAGTTATCATTTAAAAATCCGTTCTATCACGTACCTGATTGGAGACTGGTTGGGTGAGGATCAAGTATAGGAACGTCACCAGCACGACAGAGACTTAAACGTCAGTGAAAATCCATTTATTGTTGTCAATTATTACTCAAAATGTCATCAAGCACTTTCGGGGCCGCGCAGGGTCCCCTTCATCAGGCTCAGAGTAAACCCTATAAGTGAATACCCTTGCACCTCGTGTCCCAAAGACCCTGGTGTTGAGAACAGAGTCTGAGTGAACAGCAAGTGGCAACAGATGGTGATCACAACATGCAAGCAGGAGTCCAGAGACAGGATTAGTTCAGACAGGGCCAAGTCACACTAAGTGGGCAGTGAAGGACAGAAACGGAATCCAAGATCGTGCTCAAACAAGCCTGGGATCACACCAGTCAGGTAGCGAGGTACAAAGCAGGAGATAGAGGCAAATCTGGTAAACAAGCAATAGGTCAAAAGGCAGTCTGCAATCAACATGGTCAGGGGAAATACGGGTCAAAGGTAAGCAAAACCCAACAGAGTCACAGGAAGCACAGGAACTAGCTGAAAGACAATCTAGCAACTTGGGATTAGGCAGGCTGGTTTAAATAGGCTGGTCTATCAGATGTCACAGTGTCATTTCCTATGTGCCGGTTTAGTGCATCTTTGCAAAACGGGACCACGGGCATGCGCAGTAACAGATGGTTTGTTACAGTGCCCCCCCCTGGATGGATCTTGTAAAAATCAGGTAATCGTAATTTATATACAACGGGATTATTTCTCTTCTATACCGGGAATGGTCCAATGTACCTTGGGGCCAGCTTTTTGGAAGGACAGTCCAACTTCAAATTGAGAGTGGACAGCCACACCCTGTCTTCCGGCTGGAGGTCCAAATCCCCTCTTCTCTTTTAATCAAAGCAGGCTTTATTGTCTCTCTGAGCTTTGGCAATAGTACCCTGCAAACATTTGAGGTTAGAGTGGATGAGCTTCACCCTATCTTGTACAGCCGGAACAGCAACACCACCACCCAAGTTAGGCCAGAATGTAGGGTTGAACCCAGAGTTCACAAAGAACGACGTCTGTCCAGTTGCTAAGTGCAGGGAGTTATTATAGACAAACTCTACGAATCAAAGGAGTGAAGACCAATTATCCTGTGAGAAGGATGAGAAGCATCTCATGTAATGTTCCAGAGTCTGATTCGTGTGCTCAGTCTGGCCAATAGTTTGTGGGTGGTAGGCAGACGAGAAGTGATTTTCAGTCCCCAAGGATTTACACAACTCTCTCCAAACCTTTGATGCAATTTGAACTCCAGGATCCAATACTATGCTACTTGGGACTCCATGAAGATGAACAATTTTCTTAAGGAAAGTTTGAGCTGCCTGAGAGGCAGAAGGGGCACCGACCATGGGTATCAAATGGGCCATTTTATTTAGAGCTGCAACAGCTAATCGACTAAGTCGATTAAAAGTCGTCTTTCGATTAGTTGCCCCTGTTCCCGGCTCCACACAAGCCGTGCGCCACATGCTTCATGCCTTACATCGCACGCAACATTTCTTCCCAGCCTCCTCGCCTCATGCAGCTCACAGCTCTCTCCCGTCGCTACCCGCAGCCGAGACGCTGCCCGCCGCCGAGATGAGCACGTCATTGCAGAGAGACTGCATCATGGGGGAACGAAGATCTCGGGGAAGAAAGTAAAGTTGCTTGCAGGTTAGACTGCCTGCACTTTTTTCCACATGCTGTATAAATGTATTGCTGCGATAGTTATTGGTTGTATTCCTCTATAGCTGATGGAACATTGCACTGTATATCTACCATAAGCTATAGAGGAATACAAATCTCAGCAATTGAATGTATGTATAATGTATTGCCAGGATGTGTTGTATTCCTTTATAGCTGGTGGTATAGTCTGCATTGTGCTGTATAATCATTATACAGCGCAATGCAGACTATACCACCAGCTATAGGGGAATACAACAAATCCCGGCAATAATACATTATAGTATAATTCATTTGCTGGGATTTGTTGTATTCCTCTATAGCTGGTGGTATTCTGCGGTCATTGCGCCGCTGTATAATGTACTATTGCTGGCTGGGATTTGTTGTATTCCTCTATAGCTGGTGGTAAATTATTGTGCTGTATAATGATTATACAGCGAAATGCAGAATACCACCAGCTATAGAGGAATCCAACAAATCCCAACCAGCAATATTCATTATAGAGACGCAATGCACGCAGAGTACCACCAGCTATAGAGGAATACAACAGATCCCAGCAAATGCATTATTGCTGGGATTTGTTGTATTCCTCTATAGCTGGTGGTATTCTGCATTGCGCTATTGCAGTATAATTATACAGCGCAATCATTTACCACCAGCTATAGAGAAATACAACAAATCCCAGCCAGCAATAATACATTATACAGCGGCGCAATGCACGCAGAATACCACTAGCTATAGAGGAATACAACAAATCCCGGCAATAATACATTATAGTATAATGCATTTGCTGGGATTTGTTGTATTCCTCTATAGCTGGTGGTATTCTGCATTGCACTGTATAATTATACAGCACAATCATTTACCATCAGCTATAGAAGAATACAACAAATCCCAGCCAGCGAAAATACATTATACAGCGGCACAATGCACGCAGAATACCACCAGCTATAGAGGAATACAACAAATCGCGGCAATACATTATACAGCGCAATGCAGAATACCGCCAGCTATAATGTACTATTGCTGGGATTTGTTGTATTCCTCTATAGCTGGTGGTATTCTGTATTGTGCTGTATAATGTATTATTGCTGGGATTTGTAGTCCTCTATAGCCGGTGCCATTCTGCATTGATTGCTGTATAATTTTACACTTTCCATTTCACTATATTGCACACAACCCTTTTTATTTTACTTTCACCTCTCCAAGCTTGCTCCTGTGATGGACTACAATCTCAATACAAACTAGTAGTCCATCACTGGATCCATTTTTTTTATCCCATTAACCGATTAATCGAACTTAATAATCGGCTAACTAAGGGATTTTGAAAATAATCGTTAGCTGCAGCCCTAATTTTATTAAGGTGGTCGACCACCACAAAAATGGAAGTAAAGTCTTCTTAAGGGGGAAGTTCCACTATGAAGTCCATGCTGATCATGTCCCACGGGCAGGATGGGATGAGCAATGGCCTCAGCAAGCCCCGTGATCTAATTCTCTCTGATTTATTCTAAATGCAAATATTGCAGGATTTTAAGTAGGCATGACAATGCACCTTCAGAATAGGCCACCAAAAAGACCACTGCAGGAGCTCCAAAGTCTTGGAGACCCCAACGTGACCAGCCACAGGGTGATCATAGCAGAGCTTAAATACCTGCACCAGTAACTGTGGAGGTACAAAAACTACGTCGTTCATGAAAAAAAATCCATCCTTCTGCATCGCAACCCCAGATGGCAGGACTTGTCTAGTGGATGCCTGTCTGAGTCTATACACAAGGTCAGTTTCCATCAACAAAAAACTTTGAGCGGGCAAAATGGTGCCATCAGGGTTAGAATCCTCGGTCATCTGGTACATACGGGAGAAGGCATTGGGCTTGATATTCTGGGAACCCGAACGGTAAGTGATGTGCAAAGCAAACCTGGAGAAGAACAGTGCCCATCTGGCCTGTCGAGGTCTTAGGCGTTTGGCTGTTCGCGGGTGTTCCAGGACTGGATAAGCAGCCCCTTCAAGCAAATAACGCCACTCCTCTAAGGCCGATTTTATGGCCAAATTTCCCGGTCTCCTACATCATAATTTCTCTCCACAGGAGACAGTTTCTTAGAGAAGAAAGCCACAGGATGGAGCAGCGACCTGACGCAGGGAAAGAATAGCCCCAAAGGCACTCTCTGAAGCATCTATTTCTAAAAAAAGGGAAGGGCTGGGTCAGGGTGTTTTAAAATTGGTACCGATGTAAAAAAAGTCTTTAACTTATCAAAGTGCTCCTAATGACCACTGGAAATGGGAGCTTTGCTTGGTAAGCTGTGTAATTAAAGAGATAATGGAAGGGAAACCTTTAATTAATTTGCGCTAGAAGTTAGCGAAGCCTATGAACCACTGGATGCTTTTACCATCCACCGGCACTGGCCAATTCAGAATAGCAGTTACCTTTTGTGGGTCCATGGCAATGCCAGAAGTAGAAATTATTAGAAATTATTAATTATTATTATTAGAAATTGCACAGTCTTTTTCTCAAATTCACATTTCTTCGCTTTAACATACATTTTATGTATACGTATGCGACTCAGGATTTTCTTCACATGAATCTGATGAGCTTTGAGGGAGGAAGAAAAAATAAGAACATTGTCCAAATAAATAATCATAAACAGATCTAGAAAGTCTCTAAAAATGTTGTTCATAAAATGCTGGAATGTTGCAGGAGCATTGCACAACCTGAATGACTAAGTATTCAAAGTGCCTGAATTGGGGGCGGAAAGCCGCCTTCCATTCGTCCCCGTCTCTTATCCTTACTAGGTTGTAAGCACCTAGGAGATCTAGTTTGGTGAATATGTTTGTGGCTCTGAAATGCTGAAAAAGCTCAGGTACTAGAGGCAATGGGTAGCAATTCTTTACTGTGATCTTGTTCAGTTCCCTATAATCTATGCATAGGCGGAGAGAGCAATCTTTTTTTTCAACAAAAAGATACCAGCTCCCGCAGGTGATGTAGAGGGCCGAATGAACCCCTTGGCAAGGTTTTCATCAATATATTGTCAAAGAGTCTCTAATTCTGGCTCAGATAAAGAATAAGTCCGACCAAACTGAATTTCTGCTCCAGGTAGTAACTCAATTGGGCAGTCGTATGAACAGTGAGGAGGTAAAGAGTCAGCTTTCTTTTTATCGAACACATCAAGAAATTCATGATACACAGGTGGAACAGACTGGACTGTAACAGAAGGTTCTGGTTGCATCTCTATTAGGGTCCCCTGTTGAAAGTAATGTTGCTGGCAATAAGAAGATGCAAAGGCTAATGTCCCGGTGCCCCAATTAATCAGAGGCTGGTGCACCATTCCCAAGATTACAGGGAACAAGGGAGACAAGATGACATCCAGACGTAGATACTTCTGATGTTCTGTTAACGTAGAGGAAAGCAGAGGACAGGTTTCTTGAGTAATGGGGCCCAAGTTGGGAGTGGACTCGTTTGCCAGCTGAATGGTCAAAGGTTGAGTTTTGGTATGTAGAGGGATTTGAGGCAGAAGAGAGAAGTTCTTATCTATGAAGCAACTACATGCACCAGAGTCAATTATGGCTGAGACATGGATAATCTTTCCCAGGATCTGCAGAGAGAGTGGAAGAGTGAGATATGACAGTGTATCTTTGCAACTGGATACACAAATAGGGGTGGTCAACTTACTGGGTGAGACCAGACATCCCCGTAAGAAGTGCCCGGATTCTCCACAATAGAAGCAGACATGGTTGCGCCTGCAGCAGTGTCATCAAGGGGGAACGTACCAGGTCGAGTTGCATTCTGCTTCAGGGACAGGAGACGTGGCAGCATGAACACGAGAAGCAGTGGGTACACAAGGCAGCATCCAGCTGGGGCAAACCCAGTAAACATCTTTATCAAACCCTTCGGTCAAGTTGGATGGCCAAATGAATGAGCTCTTCCAGAGTAGCAGGAATTCCTAACTGGGCGAGTTAATCTTTGAGAGTCTCGGAGAGGCCTAAACGAAATTGTTGACGAAGGGCTGCGTCATTCCAATCCGTGTCGGCCCCTCACTTGCGGAATCTTCGACTGGGCCTCCACCTTGTAGGAGGGAATGGAGAACAGCCTTCGCAGTGGTAGAACACTGGGGATCGTCATACAGTTGAGCCATAGCATCAAAGAGAGTGAGTTCAGGATTGGATTCTCCTTTTCCAAAAGGTGATGGGCCCAGGACTGGGGTTGTCCAAAGAGCATTGAGATAACAATTCCGACCTTAGTGGTTTCTGAAGTGAAGGTTCAAGGTTGTAGGGCAAAATATAGCTGGCAAGCATTTCTAAATCACAGAACTTGTGGTGTTCACCGAAGAAGCGTTCTGGTGTTGGAACACGTGGTTCTGGAGCAGGCATAGTCAGGGTGGTTCAGGTGGTCTAGGGCTCACAGCTGGAGCTGCAGCAAAGGAGGAGGAGTTGGCTAAAGCCGTCATACGACCCTCTAGCTGGAAGTAGCCTTCTTGTAAGTTCTTCACAGCTTGAGTCAAGGAAGCCATTTGCTGACATAATTTCCAGAGCGTAAGCACTCCTCTCAGTCTCCGACTTGGCTGGATTGTACTATCACGTACCTAATTGAAGACTGGTTGGATGAGGAGGCTTCCCTTACACCTCGTGTCCCAAAGACTCTGGAGTTGAGAAGAGAATCTGAGTGAACAGCGAGTGACACGGGTGTCGATGGTGATCACACCGTGCAAGAAGGAGTCCAGAGACGGGATCAGGTCAGTCAGGGCCGAGGTCACACCAGGCGGGCAGCGAGGTACAGAAATGGAATCCAAGATAGTGGTCAAACAAGCCAGGGGTCTCACCAGTCGGGCAGCGAGGTAGAAGGCAGGAGACAGAGGCAAATCCAGTAAACAAGTAGGAGGTCAAAGGGCAGGCAGCAACAGCCATGGTGACAAGCGGCTCTGACAGGTAAGTGTTGGGGGCACGGGGAACACAGAAAGGTACTGGGCATTTTTCACCTTAAGGCAGAGAATACATTAAGGTAAAAAATGCCCTGCCTTTAATACTACTATAACTTATGCAGGAACTGTCTTTCAGAAGTTTTTTGATCTGCTGTTCAGTCCTAATCCTAAATTGCATTGCAGACTTCAGACAAGCTGTATGTAAATAAAGCAGAGTTTACAGTGTGCAGGGTCTGACTGTGATGACAGTCCTCAAGCCAAAAGTAAAGTAAAGGCAGTGGTTATATTTATATTTGTGAAGTTGTTTGGTATGCCTAAATATGTTGAAAGTGTTTAAAAAACGTAATGTTATAAGGGGGCGGAGCTTGCTAATGGCGGCGGCTAGACGTACTCGTCCTTAGCTCCGCAAAACCGAACCGGGCATCGGCACTAAAGTGCCTCAGCAACGCTCATGATGGGACCCCGATCATCCTCCCCGCTCCTTTACGTGGCGATTTAACGAAACGCTCCTACGTGACCCGACCACAGTAGATGCCATTAGGTCCACGGTCTCTACTTTCCTAACCACTCATGCTATGGACGATACCGCTCCCCCAGTCAAATGGGAAGCCTTTAAATGCCTCCTCAGAGGTGTTCTCGTTTCCCACGCCACTAGACTGAAAAAAGCACGCTCGGCGGAACTCACAACTTTATTGGGCGACATCCACAAACCCAAGGAATCAGGGGGCTTGGCCCTTCCCAACCTGAAGACCTACTACTACGCGGCGCTCCTTGCCCAGATTCTTGACCGGAAACACCGCAGAGCACACAAACTTTGGGTTTCCCTGGAGTCATTAGTCTCTCCGGTGCTTCCTTTCTCAGTACCATGGATTGCCCCGTCTCATCGCCCTCATTCATCGACTCTCCCTTTTGCTCTTCCCCCGCTTCTAAAAGCATGGGATCTACTTCTCAAGACATCGGCCCTGTCCTCCTATGTGGGCCCCATGACTCCCATTATGGGCAATCCGGCGTTTCCACCCGGCTGCACCTCATCTAGTTTCCTCTCTTGGTCAGCCACAGAGCCTTCACCCTTGGCCGAGGCCCTTGTGGGAGCGACCCTGAAACCCCTGGTCACCCTACTTGCGGACCGTCCCCACACGCCCGGAGCTTGGCTATCATATTTCCAACTACGGGCGTACTATACCGCGCTGGGGGACCGGGCCGCCCTACATCGCCCTCTTTCCTGGTTTGAGTCTCTATGTCGCCTGGATGACCCGCCTACACATGTTATCTCTCTCCTCTACTGTCAGTTGCTCCCGATGCGCTTTCAGGGACGTTTACCGTTCATAACTAGATGGGAGGAGGACTTAGGGGTTACCCTTACGGAGGAGGAGATTCGAACTGCCTGCATTACTACTCATAAGCTTACGGTGGCCTGCTCGGCTCAAGAAAAAGGCTATAAAATTTTAACCCGGTGGTACCGCAGCCCAACTCTCCTACATAGAATATTCCCTGACAGGCCCTCGATATGTTGGCGATGCCTGGCTTCGGAAGGGACCCTCCTGCATATTTGGTGGGAATGCTCGCTCCTGCTACCATTTTGGGACAAGGTCTTCCATGTTTATAACCAGGTCATGGGGACGAACCTAGCAGCCTCACCTAAGATTGCTCTCCTCTCTGTTCTACCTGGCTCCATAGCCTCCGTTAAGAAGGATCTACTCCGCTTCTTCCTGGCTGCGGCCCGGAACGTGATACCACGCCATTGGAATACGGTGGTCGCCCCAACCTTGCAGGAGTGGATTGCCGAAGTGGGTTTGATCATGCGCTTTGAAGAGCTGACGGCCTCTCTACATGAGCGTCAATCTCAATGTGCAACCTTGTGGACCCCTTGGATTTTATATATGGACTCAGCAGCATTTAAAGCCCTGTAATATGACCAGTGGCCCCCTGATGGACTATTGACTAGTGCATTGCATTTATTATGTCTCAGTACGCCACCCCAGGAGCTGAATGCGCCATTGGGTCCGGCGGAAACCCCTCATCTCCTCCCCCTCTGCCCTCCCCACTAGACGTCTTTCCCTAAATGTTTCCCACCCCGACTTGCCTCTCTATCTGGCAAGCACCCCCCCGCCAAAATGTTTTGTCCCCTTCGTCCTGTGATTTTTATGTGCTTCGTTCCTTGTCCTCTTTTCTTAATGTTGTCTGGTTGGATGGGAGACAATGCGATCATGTTACCCAGTCTTAAAGGGCTCCTGACCGAGTCATACATAGCTGTTACTGAAGTATGACACCTACCATACAATATTTGACTCAATCTGTGTATCCCCGTGTTTTAGGAGCTGAATGTATCTATATACATGCGTATGCCTATCTCTCACGATGGAGTGTATTTACGTGACTCTGTATTACATTGATCTCCATGTTTACATGTCTTTCATGTTAATTGTGTTAAAACCCTTAATAAACACTTATTATTTTAAAAAAAACAACTTAATGTTATAATTCTTAACTGAACATATGTTCACAGATCGACCGAATCTCATTATTCAGTAAACTGTATATACTAGAAAAATATAATAATGTTTTTTTCAACTTTTACAGCTTTTGACAAACCATTATGAACAGTGCTGGAAATATTATTGCCTCCCTTCTGGATGGGGCAGCTACGGTTTGGCCTCAGAGGAAGAACTGCATCTGACTGAAAAGCTGTTCTGGGGGATTTTTGATTCCCTTTCCCACAAGGTATTTTTAATCTTTGCTATATAGAATCTTCCATGTTATATTTTTCTGTGACTATGTTACATATGTTCATTGTTTGTTAGTTCAGTATCCAGCAAACCGGCTGGATATGCATTAAAATGGCAGCCAAAGATTTTCATTAAATTCTCCAAAGCCAGACAGAACAAAAAGATTACTCTTTAATATTTGAGGTATTAAGGTTTAACCAGTTGGCGTCCACCGTTAAAAAAAAAAACGGACGGACGGCACTGCTGTATTAGCGGGTTGCCGTCTCCCGACGGCATTTTTTCCCCACTAGCGCGCGTGCACGGGCAGAAAAAACCCGTGCAATGCATAGAGCCGTTACCGGCTATTTAACATGTACACGATCGGCAGCTCTATAGCCAGCCGATCGTGTATATGTGCTGGTGTGTGCCCCCCTCCACCCCCCTCCTCTGCTGCCGCCGC